GTCTGACACTTTTATATATATCTTAAATTAAAGCTAATGTAATATACTTTATCATGGAAAATAAAAATTTCGGACTTTATTTTGTCTTCACGGTGAAAATGGCTACCAAATGCTATTATTGTGTGAAAATTCTCGATTTTATTTTTGACATTTTTAACTTTATAATGCTATAACTTATTGAAAAGTGTATTGATCAATATAATTTTTTTATGGGAAATACTATTTTCTAATACTCTTTTTTATTCTACATACTTTGTCTTAATCAGGATATTAATAAGGAACTAGCAGTTTATGAAGCTTTTGGAATAATCCACAAATTTTTTAAAATTAAACACTATCTAAAGATTTGCATCGAAGCGTTTTTTTTTGATAGTGATTTTAATCACTGTCAGATATCATTATACTTGATCCAACTATGCGACGTCACCACTGTGCCACGACCCCCCTGTGCTGGGTTTTTTTTTTTTGTTTCATTTTCAATAAGTTTTTTACTTAACCAGTAATGAATCTATAAATGGGATAGTAGTAACACACCTAGAGTAGGAGTATTTTTTTTATACCACATCGTAAAATAGTGAATGAATTCTTCTTGATGGAAAAAAGTAATTTTAATAAAATAAGTGGTTAATGACAACTTTTGAAACAGATTTTAATGTTATTTTGATATTTATATGTAGACTATCAACCAATTATTTATTAATTAGATTATTTCTTTTTTTGTAAGCTAGTTTAAAATGTGTGTTGTCATTAAAAAGAATATACACCACTATATGTTTTAAGGTATGTTGTAAGGTCATAAAAAGTAATTAATAGCTAATAAATTAAAAAACTAAAAATTTCAAAAATCATTTTTCTAATATTGTATTTATGTTGCAAGTAATCGAGTGGTTTATAATAAACCAATTACCCTGCAATGTAAGAATATTTTTAATTCTATTGTTTTCTGTTGTGTTTTAATATTTTTCATGTATTTTATTTTTATGTAAGCCATTTTTTAATCAAGGTAGAAACAAACTATTTTTAGTTTTGTTTTTTTAATAAATTTCACTTTTATAAATTTTTTTTAATTTGTTTGTGATGGTAAAAAATTGTTTATTTGTAAAAGAATTATCAGCCTCCTCGCCTATAAAATGTTTATTTTTAGTATTGGTTATATTTTTTAAAAGGTCAACTTTTGTTTAATTTTTTAAATTATTTAGCAGTTTTCTAGAAAATGAATATATTACTTAATAATATTAGTATTACTTCGTTATCACTAAACAGGAATACTACATGCTGATCTAACGCAAGTGTCGCCTTTTTTAGTATTGACTTCATGTCTTCATTCCATTCATTCATACCGTATAAACGAGTCATTTGAACCTGTGATAAAATACTCATTGTATATATTTTTTTAATTCTAAATAAATAATGTACCAATGTACAATATTTTTATTTGCTTAATACTTGGAATAAATCGTATTCTGAAATGTGTGCAGAGAGTCTAGTCAATGATTGGCGACCTGATCCTCCTAAGCCAACTAATAAAGCATGTCCGCGTGGTTGTTTAAATATCCTACAAATTCTTGATAGGTGCTCAATGGCAAATCTAAATAGTACTAGATGCATAGGTTTTTTACTCATATTGTTAAATTCATTTAAGTAACCTTCAACGACTAATCGAAGGTTATTTAAATTATTCACTTCAGTGTAATGTCTAGCTTCAGCTTTCGGATTTGAAAAGTCACAGTATATTAACTGTCGCAATTCTTCTTTACCGACCTAAATTTATCAACATTTTTGATTTTTATAAATATATAGATATTTTAAACTAAAAACTTATATCAAGACTGCACCTCATTGTTGTCGTTGGTCAAATGAGAAAACATATCATTCATTTCTTCGTTTAAATTATTTTTACAAACTGAATAAATTGTCTCGAAAAACCAGCAGCGATCGGAATTTTCTACTAAACGATCGTAGTATACTCTGAGAATTTCGTGAACCCAAAGACGTTTCATGGCAACAGAGTCTTGAATAGTTTCAGGTGCAGAAAACATTACACCCTATGGACGCATGAGATAAAATAATCAAATTTTTCTTTTACAAAGTAATGTTTTTACTTATCTTAATTTTGATTGGAGAAGTATGACTTACTTGTATAACTTTAGAGAAGTCTCTCAAGTTAAATAAATAATGTGATTTATTAGGAGTTGGTAGTAAAAAGTTGATACTATTTTTGTGTACTTCTAAAGTAGCGTCAACTATTTGATGCATACACGAATCAAATTCTCGACTGAAGCCTCTGTAAGGATATATTAAAACTTGATTTAAATATAATTATAATTTATCCTAAATTAATCTTATGGGTTGTCGGGAAAAACCGCATGCCTTAATGGTGAAAAAATAGTGAATATAGAAATAATTCACTAAAATTAACAAAATTTACTACACCAAACTAATTATTTTGAATATTTAAAATTTTTAGATCATAATTTGCTCATCTATATAACTGTGTGAATAGCTACATGACGTCTATAAAAATATTGTGTGATTTGCAAAACTATAATGTTTAATCGATAATATTTAAAGCGAATATTCAAACCTTGTATCCAAATGCCATAGTAGAATTTTACTAAATATTGATACCATAGTTAAATCATCAAATTCGTTAATTACAACTATATTGAAGTGTCGACTGAATCTTGGTGTTACTGTATTACCTGTAGACGGTGGTCCCATAGCACATAATAATAAAACTTCTTGGAGAGTCATAGGAGTCCTATCTTTTCGATCAAACCATGGAAATTTATCCAAAAATTGCCTTAAAAGTTCAATAGGTGGCTGTGCCCCATAGAACTCTTTTTGTGGCATGCTTACGTCATCTATGAATATAATGCATTTGGTTCCAACTGGTGGGCCATATACTCCTCGTCGCCTTTTTATTAATTTATTCATAATAATATCTTGTGTGAGGTTAGCTGAAGTTTGAGCTGAGAAATTAATAAAAGACGATTGATTGAGCGTTTTATCAAGTTTTTTGAAAATATAATTCTGAAAAATAAATGTAGTAAATTAGAAAAAACGTGTTTATAAAATAAAAATATATATTTTTAGTATATTTATATAACTAGTTATTTGAATCAAATTTTAAGTATACGATTACTTCGTCAACAAAATTCAAGTGAATAAATAGACGAAAAAGATAAAATATAATTTGGTTTATAATATCAGTAAAATCCTAAGTGGTTATAAAGTTTATATTTATTGTTCTATATCATATATTTAATTAATAATGTAATATATATTATTACCATGGTATAAGTTGACTTTCCTGTGCCTGTTTTTCCTACTGTCATCATTGGCTTGCTATGAGCTATTAACATAGACATTAGTACTTGATATCTAATCACATCAATTGTAGGTACGATAATTTCATTGAATGGTACTCCTTGAGGTAAAGGCGGTGCTTCAGATACGTATTCGGACCATAACTTCCATTCGCCTCTGCCATGGCCTTCCAAAATGTATCTATAATCAAACACTGTATATTCCTTAGGGGGAGTATTCATGTATGGTTTATCAGGTGACGAACATATTTCTAAAGGCAGTTTAAAAATCCTAGCGACCTTTTTTGGGAATTTCTTTTCACACAAAGCACGAAATATTATATTGAATTTACTTCTACTTTGAATATCAAGAGAGGCTCCCATAGACCAGATACAAGAGAAAAAAAATATGCCCTATAATATTATCATAAGTTAACATTTTAATTTTAATATGAGATAAAATGAAATATTACTTCGAGTTGTGCTCTAAGATCAGATTGTGAAATTGTCTTCATTTGTTCTTCATCTTTATAGTGATTCATATAAGTATCGCAAATATTCATCATTGATCTAACAAGATTGGCATTACTCAATGGAAAAATTTCCTGAATAATTAAACCGTGGTATTATAGTTATTGAATCCTGTTATTATCTATAATTTACTAATGTAAACATAGCATATAACTTTTAAACTTGTAATAGCTAAGTTGCAATAATGTGTGAACTATGTTGTATAATTTTTTGTGTGAATATATTTGCTGTAAAATGTTATTGAAGAACATATAAATAATATTGATGTAACTTACTACTACAATACAACGTTTCAAGTAGTATAGTATAACATTGGTAAATCTCAAAATGAGTGCTTGTAACATCTGTTTATATTGAATACTTATCAACGACGACAACTGATTAATCCATGATTGGACTAAACATTCCCAACCCAATGATGAAGGTTCCATATATATCATTCCACATCGAGATACCTAGAAAATAATAATTTGATTCGCCTAGATGTATTTTGAATGGGATTATAGTTTTAAATTGCCAAACGAGTTTTAAGATATTTTTTAAAGTGATTATTAATTTAAATGCTCTTTTAACGTAACAATTTATTTTAATTTTATGAGGTTCTAATTATACTGGCTTATAATCCTATAATAGGATCCAGGAAGCGAAATGTAAGTTATGTTATTTTTATTATTACGCATCATAACTCCCGGAATGCTGATTTAAAATTTGTTGTCGAGTAGTTATTTCCTAATATTTAAACTAGTTAATTATATATGTTGCCATTTAAATAATAAAGTTAGTATCTTTATAAGAAATAAGGGATGGGCCTAAAAATAACTTACCCACTTATAAATTGAGAAATAAATTCTACTAAAATAAGTAAAAAGAAAATTTCTCGAAATTATTATTATTTTATAAAAAATTGTATAAACGATGACTTAATCACCTTGTATATAAAATGTATTATATTTATTATTTTTGTCATTCATATTTAAAAATAAATATTTATTATTTATAAATTAAAAATTTGATTCCGTTAAAAAAACTTCTTAAATATTTCTATTCAGTTAAAAATGTGGATCTTATTAAAATATTTAAAAGGTATTTAAAATAAAATGAGATATAGTAGATATTATATTTACTGTAGCTGGAGATGCTACATCCAAGTCCATTGGTTCAAATACTAAATTAGTTGTATTAGCTAGTTGAATAATTTCTCCTGATATCAAACAAAGTTTTTTATTGTCATCCAGTACAGTATTCATGTTTTCTATCCAGATAGCATCTACTGGCCCATCAAATATTAACCATTTTCTATTAAGATTTTCTGAAGATGCGAACTGCCTGAAGCCTACTGCTAGAATACCATCGGACCATTCATGTGATATTTTATCGAACTGTCCATAAAGTTGTCCAAGAGTTATGGATTTTGGATTAATCACCATGATTTCTACTTTATGCTCATTTAATAAGCCCTTCAAAAACACACTTATAATGTATATTTCATAGAAATAATAAATATTCATATATTATATACGATAGAATTTTATTATATATTTTATTCGATAACTTAAGATTAAGGCTAATTATTATACTTATTATGATATTTAAATTCTTTTCATGAATTTTATGTAGGTACCTTTTCTTCAATGATGGATAAAGCACCAGCGAGCGCTTTGTACGCAGATGTTTTACCACTGAATGGAAAGCCGACGATCATTAAACCGTGTCTTACGATCATCATTTCATACAGTTGTTGAATTTTTTGTAAAAAATATGAAGTGCATTGTAAATTTAAATTTCGACATGATTCATTTACGCATTCATTAAAAATACTATAATCTGGATCAGGCAATTCGATCCCAGGAAACAAATCTTTTGTTAAGCCCTAAATATATTTAATAGTATTAGAATATTATTTTTTATAAACTGTTACATTTCTGTACATTATGATGTATTATTATGTACGTTAAAAATTTTATGTATTCATTAACTTGCATATTTTAATGATAATTGTTATTTTGTTAATCATTTTATTTAATAATGAATAGTTTATTTTTACTTTGAAAAGTGGAATGTCATGTTCAAGAAATTTTGGTAAGTTAACATCGTTGATGGAACGTAACATGAGAATGTTTTCATTTTCTTCTGGGTATTTTAGTTTTAAATTTCCAGCAGCTAAAAGTACAGTTGTGACGGCTCTCATTCCTGTTTTAGTTAATTAATAATAAAAAAATAATTCAAAAGTTCAGATAATTGAAAAATTATGTAATCATTCTAAAGAATATTAAATTACCATAGTCATAATGATGTTGTGAAGAAAGCTGTTCCGAACATAATTTGTAAGTGGCCACGATTTTTACTGCTAAAGAACGTGCAAAATGAAATCCAAAAGAATACAATTTTATCTCAGATATAAGTGCATAATCTGGAACCATCATAGCCACTGAACGAAATAATGCCTTTAATTGAATTTTAGTTGTTTATAAACGTCGAATAGAATATATTTATAAGCGAGCAAAATTAATACTTTCAAGTTATCAGGCAGTTCTGATCGTCCCGCGTATCCAGGATTCATAGTGATAAAAACGGCACATGTTCTATCTAAATTTAAGGTAGACCCTTCAAAGTGTATCTTAACTAAATTAGCTTGAATTCCTCGTTGTATAGTTAATATTTGTTGGGCTACAACTGAAAGAACTTCTAAATCAATTCGATTAAATTCATCAAAGCAAGCCCAAGCGCCGCAGGATAAAAGGCCCTGAAAATTTAAAACTAATTGAAGCAAAGTATATTGAATAGGAATGAAAATTAATTTAAGGTATAGATAAAACATTTCTTAATGATAGGTTTATTAAATTTAATCTTCTTAAATTGTACTGAGTTTTTAATGTTTATACTCGCTTTAAAAAATTTCCCTAGTCCAATGTAATCCATAGTATCTGAACAATTAAATACAACGCATTGTTTCGACACAGCTTTTGCTAAATCTTTAGTAGTTTCTGTTTTTCCTGTGCCGGCTGGTCCTTCAGGAGCACCACCTAAATTCAGTTGCAATGCACAAAATAATGTGCGATAGCAACGATCCGTTAATGGAGTAATGACAAGTCTAGTAGAATTCCCTAAATATTCGTAACCATATTTTAAAGATGCATTTACCATGTGGGTGTCTAAATCTTCTTCCTTTAATTATACAGTTTCTTTAATTATAATAGTAAATTATACATTTCGAATAAATTTTAAATTATATCTCACTAGCCAATAATAGCGCAATTGACAAATCCAATTAAAGTCATTAATTTTTCTTACTCCTTTCTTTGTTAAATCTTCGACTACATCTTTCGCATGCACATCCATAACAACTAAAGCACCTATAAACAAATTTAAGTATATTTTGCATTATAAAGAATTATTGGGTTCTCAAATTTAATTCACTCACATTTATTTTCTTTTGAAGTAATTTAACGTAATAAAATAAATAATTACTTACCAAGTGTCAATCTTGTTTGAACTGATAACTTTCCTCTGACAAGCTTAACAATTTTAGCTATTTGATCGTTGCTCTTATCTAAATATCTGACCAATCCTCTAGGATGATGTAATATGGCTTGAGTGACTTCAGTAGTCCAGTATGTACATGATACAGCTAGAACAGGTTGTCCTGGCCACTGAACTACCCATGTTTGTCTTTCTACAGTTTTGTAAGCAACTAACGCCCTTTTAATTACTTCTCGTACAGTTGCTCTCATTGAATTTTCTAAATCAACAAGCCATTTTTCTACTTGACCTCTGGCTTTTGCGGTGTCGACAACTATTGTCAAATCAACAGCTTCATTTTCACTAGATAACATGCAAGTTACATCCAACTCTGGTGTAAATTTCAATTTTGCGATTCCTTCAAAGCATTTTTTTAAATATGGTTGAACTCTAGTGGGGTCTTTAGTTTCTGACAATATTTCTAAGAGTTCATCGTTTGATAAAAAAAAAAATCTCGGGAAAAATAGACGTTTTTTTTCCAAATAATCGTTTAAGCCTTTTTGGATAAGTTCTAACAGGCTATTACTCTTTTTTAGTTTTTCCAATAACTTGTCAATATTAATTGCAAGTATAACTTTTTTAATTTTTTGTGCTTCTTTTATCATATCCCGCCAAACCTAAATATTTAATTTTTACTTTAAATTAATACAAATTATTACATAAATTACTATACTTACTTTATCAACAGCATTGAACCTTCTTGACTCTTCAGGCATTTGAGTTTGAATATCTTGTGAAGAAAATATCGGTTCTAAATACATCCAAGCTATTTGAACTTTGACCCAATAATCTAAAATATCATTTAGAAGATGCAGTTTTCCTTCCCAAATTCTATGTATAAAATATTTCGATTAATAATACCTTACGTAATTACTAAGTTGATTGAATAACAAATCTATTGAAATAAAATTTAAATAATGAGATAAAGTTATTTCGATTAAAATACAGTATAAAAACAAAATATAAAAAATATTGTTAAATGTAACAATAAAAACAGGTTACCTTTTAGGGTATCTATTATTGTTATTATTTTAACATTTAAGAAAATATTCGTTTATAATGATTTTGACGTATATGATATTTATTGTTATTAAATAACTTATATCATATAAGTTTAGGGGTTTTTATGGTTATAACGTTATTTAAATTTATTAATTTATATTTTTTTCTATTTTATATGTTTAATTTTAATAATTTATGTATAATTCATTGATATCATTTTAGTTTTTGATTTATAGTAAATTAAAATTAAGTTTATGTTAAAAAATTGATAGATCTTAATTTTTACCGACATTTAGTTAGAAAATAATTTAAATTTAGTTGTATTTAACCTAATTTCTAATTTATGAGCCAGATAAATTTTATTCACTTGATTCTTTCTTCAAATGGTTTAATAAAAGGTGAATTTTTCATGGTCGCTGTTTTTAAAATATGATCATCAAGAAGAAGTTGCACCTCATCTACTCCTGATAAAATCATGGTTCCAGAATCTCTAAACAACAAAAGTTAATCTTCATACACTGAACCAAATATTATTAGTGAATATAATAATTTTGATTATTTTTACAAAAATTTTAGGATTATTATAAATTTATTTATAAAATTATATACAAACCTATATGACAACAGATTAAAATGTAAATATTTCCATTCTTCTTCCATAGCGTCCAATTTTTTTTCTAATGATGTTTCTTTAGACGCTCCTTCACTAATTACTTCAAATTTAGGCACAAATTCATCCAAATTATAATCCATTATTTTTGCTAATGTTAAATTTTGATTAGAATGCAATGGAAAACCAATTATTTCTGATATTTTTTCCCAGTGACGATCTTTTAAACCAAGATTACCTAATGTTAGTACTACAGGCATATGTTCTCTAAAAGTTTCAACAGATTGTTTAACCTAAATATAACAATAATCATTTTTTCATAGAAATATGATACAACATTTTTTCAATATGAGAAAATTTTAGTTATACTGGGTGATTTTTTTAACATAACCATTGTTCAGTTTTGGAGGTTAATGTCTTTAACTAGATACGATTTGTGGTCTTTTGATATATCATTGAATAAAATTGGTCCGGTGAGAGCTTTGTTTGCATCAAAGTTAAAACAAAGTTGACATCGTAACATGACACAAGGAATAACACATAAAAAGGATTAAAAAGCTTATAATTTAAGAAAAATATGTATCTCAAAATTATTTTTATTCTGTGAATAATTAAGTTGGTTATGATAAAAAAAAAACACTATCGTACTATCATTACAAGAATGGCACAACTCGTAAAATTACATTTTGAGATGATTAACTTCATAATTTTGATCTCCCATAAGAATTACATTGTGTAATACTATTATTTTATATTTTTAATAATATTCTTATCACTTCTCATAGATAGAACTTTCATTATTATATAGAGGAAACTAAACTGAACAGAATTATACCATAATATAAAAAATTATATTTTTTATAATACAATAGGGGTATTACGCTTCTATTGTATTAAGAGTAGTTATGTGTCTTCTTTTCTTACCGCGACCGCAATTGCTAAAGGCGCTGGATTATCAGAAAATATACGCTCTAATTTAACTATATTTCTGAAGTATAACGTTGTATCTTGTTCAATTAATTCAGGATCATACGTTCCAATTTTAGCATTCATCCACTTATCATAGTTTACCATAAATTCTGAACAGTTATCATACAACTTTTTGTATGGCGCCAGAGTATCTGCGACCTATTCAATATAAACTATTATAGAGTCTAAATTTTTAATAATACTTATGTGTTATGAGAATCAAAAAATGAACAATTTTTCATCGCATAGAACTATTATTACGTATTGTACTATTAAAAAAACTTAACTATTTTTCTTAGTGGATATGTACTTTCTTTCCATCCAAAATGTTTTTCTTCCTCGTTAAATCCATCTATGATATCTAAAGCGTTATTCATTTTGGTATCTAAACTTCTGGCTTTGTCCAAATATATCGGTAGCATTTCAATATTTCCGAATTGTTTGAATTCTGCAACTTGATCTTGATAGTTTTCTAACTCGATTTTAAATTTGTTGATACGGCTTAACAAGTAATCTTGGAGCTCTTTTGTTTTTTCTTCGACCATTCTTGCATTTTCTGTAAATACATGATTTATCAGCTCAACCCACTGAAAAGTCTTGCCATTTTGCTTTAATTCCACGCCAGTTAAAAGTGTATAGTCAGATAGAAATAGCTCGTAAGATAAAACTACTTTAACCCTTTCTTCCATTTCAGGAATGACATCATTTTGAATATCAACTATGTACTTTTTTAAATTAACTAAACTTTTAGTATTTACTGGAGGAGTTAGGGCAACATTTTGTAAATGACTGTATTCTTCGTTTAATCTAAAAATATAAAGTACATATACATTTAAATTTAAATATCAAAGTTCTCCATCCCGTGGTAGTAATTATACTTTTTTCCTAATGCCAAATAAGATGCTGTCATTTTATCTATTATGGTATTTTTAAATTTTTCCGCTTGTTTACACAAAGTTCTAATTGTTTCACCTCTTCTAATTTCAAAAATACCAACTACTGTTTCTGGACTGATATCTACTGGTATATTTAACGCAATTTCATGGTACTTTGCTACGTAAACTTTATACTCTTCGAGGGTGTGATTTGTTGACAAAAATTTATCTATTTCAAATTGGGCTCTTCCGTTTACTAAATATAAATAATTGTCAAGATCATGAATGGCTAATTCAGGCAAAACCCAATAATCGTCTAAAACTGATCCGAGTTTTTGCTTTTGTTCGTAAACAAATTCCATGTTTACACCAACCTAAATAATAAATGTGTCAACTGCTATTTAGAGGTTTTAGAGGTTAAGTTTTCATTCTAAGTATAGAAAAAAAATTATATCGTTACTATTTAGATTGATGCTAAACAGATTATCATTATTATACAATATTAGATATACTGTCTGATTTGTTAAAATACTAACCCAAATTTTTTCTTTAAATAATACTTTAACTTTTAGGTATAGGAAAGGAGAATACGCGACTTATTAGTAATCTTATTTATGCATTATAATAAAAATAGAACGTCGTACCTCTTCTATTGTGTAAATCTTTAAATACATACATAAAAAAAAGAGTAATTTTATAAAACTAGGTAGCACAGATTAGTCAACATTTTATTTTTTACATTCTTATAGTATAAATAAAATTATTGGTTTATATTTAAGTTTCATAAGTTTCAGCTAGAAACTACCCTTACAATAGTTATTTTTTACAGTAAAACTTGATATTTATCCTTGTTAATTAAAAGAAATTATATTATATTTAGTATATTTTTATGAAAATATTATTACCTATAGAAAAAAATTTGGGCTAGTATTTTTCATAAATGCTGCATTGTTTTTTAATACACTTTTTGATATTTTACATTTAAAATTTTAGTTGTATGATTATATTCATTGTTAATTCGATGTTCAATTCTTTCTAGGTTCATAACCATTTCCTTTATTTGATCGTAAACAGACATATTGAGTTCTTTAATTTTCTTATAACTTGGTAAAAACTGCAGTGTTTTATTTCTGTACATAAGATAGGTAACAAATCCAGGATTAGTCTAGAAACAAAAATTAATACTTACCAATATAGAATGTCAAGGGTTTATTTGAATTCAATAGAATATATTAATTTTCATATAAAGTATTTTATACTTTGGGGTTGCACATGAAATCAGTAAATTGCTTCATTTCTTTATAAACATAGTCTTGGTATTTTACTTTCATTACATATGCAACACAGTTGTAAAAAGAAACTTGTTTTTTGACATTGTCTTTTTTTGGAATACAGCGATAGAATTTAGGCTAAATATTAAAAAAACAGGAAATAATTATTAATTCAACAATAATTTTTATAGTTATTGAAAAGTTAGCAAATTATTGATTTAATTATACAATTATTTCTTAAAAATAATTTCTGGTTTATGGTGGAATTTGATGGTTTTTATCAAAAGTGGATTAATAATTACTTAATTCATTCAAATTTACGTTTTTAAAAAGCTGTTCTACAGATTGGAACCATCTATCACGCATAGTACCACTTGCTTCGATAATACATTGACGTACAGTGCTTACATATTCAGGCAATGTGTACTTGTCTCTAGTAGTCATACTCATATAGTCTAATATTTTTGTTGGTCTAAGGAAAATATAGTTTAGAAAAAATAACTTTGTTATATCAAAATACACTGTGTTAAATGTTCAATACTCGAATTCTTTATGCCATAGTTTGATCATTTCAGTAACCAATGGATTTGCTTGGTGTAAATTTTCCCGAAGAAATGTGGACGCTTTTATCATTGACTTTTTCCATTGAGAACTATATTGCCTCAACTCTTTTCGTAATGGTGTATCCAACTTAGGTAAATCGTTTCGCATAGAATAGATATCTTTTAATGCATAAGTAACTATGGCTTCTTTCATTGATTTCAAATAGCATTCCTAACCCAACACATTACAGCTATTAATATAAACATGTTTGTGTTACAGAAATGATTCATTCACAGTATCCCTTCAGTTTTCTTTACTTATAGGCGAAAAAAATACTAATATATTAAGCTCTTTTCAAAGGAGTATTAATTTATTTTTTAAAATTCATAATCATTAAGTTCGATCGTTATTTCATAATATTAATTAAAGAAGTGTGAAACTAATAAATCTTTTAAAATACGAAAGAAGGAATGTGATTATCTAATTTATTTTATAATGTAATCTTAAAAGATAATTTTATTTTTATAAAACTAACTTGTATTAGGTGCTACTTTTCAGTAACCTATACAAAGGCTAAATAATTCCAATTTGATCATAAAATTATTTTCAATTTTTAGCTCGTTATAATCCTGTATTTATAAAGTCTTTAAATAATTGTTTAGAGCATTTTGATTTTGATTTAAATTTATTTTTTGCTATTTTTTTGAAATATTTTAATTTACGTTAATAAAAATAATGCTTAAAAAGGTTGGTAGCTAAGATAAGGACTCAGACCAAGATGCGTTATCAAAAAGTAATCTTAATAAAGTGATTAAGTGCAACTTATTTTTTAATGATATTTATTTTTAAATTTTTTTTAAGAAAGGTTAAAGACTATTTTTATCAATATTCTCTTTTAATCACTTTAGCTTTGACGCAATAAATTAATAGTAATTAAAAATAGTTATTAGTTTGCTTTCAAAATAACAATTTTAATACTGTTGTTTTTTAATTAAGTGATTGACATTTTTTTTAATTATTTGTTATTCAAACTAAGTATTTCTTTTTCAAATGGACTTATGAATCAACATTTTATTTATAGTTTCTAAGAAAAATTTGTTTATTTATTTAAAAAAATAATAATAATAATTTTAATAATCTAGACTTAAATGACTTATATTAATGGCAGTTAAATACTTACATTAAGTATTTCTTCTTTAAAGTCAGATAAAAAAGGAGAGTTTTGGAATTCTTTTGACAGTCTGCTAAGAATACCAGTCACCATTTTAGGATCTATTGGAGCTAAATATCTAGTATCCGCTTCAGCTCCTTGTCTTATAAAAAAGTAGTATTTCAAATATTTCTCGGTATCTACACCCATGTCTTTGAATTCTTCTGATTTTAAATGCTCCCCATAAGCGGTTACTAATTTTGAACGGAATTCCTCACGTTTTTCTCGTGTTTCTTTTGCTTCTTTCTATACAATAAAAATTATTTAAGTGATATAACATAAAAAATCAGAACAGATTTGGACATTTAATAAAAAACTATTTTCTAGGATACTTTATATTTCTATTAATAATTTAGAACAAGTTTTTGTTTTAATAAATTTAGGTAAATAATGTATTATTATTAGTGCGGTATATATGTCTGTACGTTCTAATGAGCAATTATTTTTAAACCACTTTTCTACTGTAAAAAAATTACTTTTAGAAAACACTAATTGCAATATAATATTATTAGGAGATTATAATCTGCCTTCTGCCACGTTCTGTGATTCTGAAAATTTTTTTAATGAACAAATTTTTAACTTAAACCTACTACAAGTTAACAATATTATTAATATTAATGGTATTACTTTAGATAAAGTAATTCCAAACTATCAAAACATTGCAATCGAAAAAAACCTAAACCCAGTAGCAATAATCGATAAACTTCATCCACCTCTAAATATTTACTACGCCTGTAATCAATTGCATTACTTGAATTTTAAAGAACCTATTTATTTATGGGAAAAAGGTAATTATTATTCTATTATGAATTATTTAGGCTCTCTTAACTGGAAATTGTTATTAAATCATAACGATATTAATATAAATTTTTCTAACTTCTACTCAATTTTATATTACGTTATTGAATTAAATATACCAAAGTCATTTATTTTCAAATCACGTTACCCGTATTGGTTTAGTAAAAATTAAAAAAATTAATTAAAGATAAAAAACATGCCATTTATAAAACATAACATTTATAAAAACTCAAAATTACCTACTAATTTTACTATCTTTTCAAAATTGCGTTCTAAATGTAAAAAAGCAAGAGAAAGAGATTTCTTAAACTTCATAAATAATTCTCGAAATTCTATCAAAACAAATCAAACAAAAATAATTTTGGAAGTTTTTTAAACAGAAAAAACTAAATCATGATTTATCTAATTTTATGTGTTTAGATAATATATTTGCTAATAATGGTCAAGATATCATTAATTTATTTGGTAAATACTTTTCCAGTGTATATACGTCTCAAAATAATCTTACTCCTATCACTTCAAACTGTCCCTATCTATTGTCTAGCCTAAATAAAATTGAAATTAGTTTATCTGATATATTTAATGAATTAAATTCATTAAATGGTAGTCCTGAACCTGATGGTATAGATGCTTTATTTTTAAAAAATTGTTCATTTGTTCTTTCACCTATTTTACTACTTTTATTTAATAGTTCATTAAAATGTGGTGTATTTCCGGATATTTTAAAATAATCTTTTATCAATCCCATATTATTATTATTATTATTTTATTAAATAATTGCAGTTGAATTAATAGTAATGAGTCATTAATAATGAGCATTGAATCAAATTATGAAAACACTAAATTATAAAATAAGAATTCAAAATAATTTAAAGGTACTAAATATGATAATTTATTTTTATAAGTGTGTACCTTGTTAGTTCGTGTTTAACTGTATTAAGATCAAGATTTTGAGTTTATTTCAGTAAATGAACCTTTCTTCCAAGTATACAAATAAAAATTTAACTTTTTTTTTTTTTTTAATTTAAAACCTTTTAAAATTATTTAGTCTAAAGAATGTATTTGTGTTGGGTTTCAATTATTTATTGGTCAATAGCAATACCTTATAACTTATGAGTAACTTTTTATAAGTAGGTTTGAAGTTACATTATCTTAGAATATATAGTGTTCTCTGAAATAGGCAATTGAAGTTATATGTAGATCCAAATTTAAGTAAAATAAATGTTCAAATTATCTTTAAAATGAATTATTTCACGGAAGAACACGAAGGAAGATACTTAACTCAATATCTTCAATGAGTAGTGTTAAGGATTAAGTAAAATAAAAAAACTGTTATTGATTACAGTTACTCATGGGTTAAAACTTTGATACTAATATTATTATTGTTTTATTACAAAAATAAAAGAGTAAATTTAGCGAGTTATGTGCAAAATTCCAATTTTTTAAATTACTCTATATTAAAAACGTCATAATTAATTATATATACAGTGGGTAAAAAAAGTATTGACACATTGTGTATTTTTCGAATTTCCAGTCGAAGGAATCATTTTTATTTAATGGTTGTTATACATTATAATAATAATTGATATGTTAATTATTTCTATGCTAAAAAAAATAAATTTTAGCCGAGACATTTTAGTAATAATAATAATAATCTTAAATAACTAATCAATAAATTATTGACACACCGGTTAAATCGTAATTCAAACGGGTCTCTACATGTCCATGGTCTATTTATAGCTGGGTTTTTCTGTTCTACGACTACTTTGATGTCTCTCAGTCAATTAATTTACAGGCATTCGACAAAAAGCGTCGTTATCGAAATGTCTACTAAAAAATCAGAAATCTCCGTTATTTTGCGAGATCGTATTATTTTTTTAAGATCTCAAGGATGGAGCTACCGAGAAATTGGAAATTTAGTAAAAATAAACTTTTCTACAGTACGTTGGATAATAAAACGTTATGAAGAAACTGGTCATATTAATAATAAACAGCGAACGGGACGTCCTAAAATATTTTCTGAAAGAGAAAAACGTGAAATTGCGAACGAAATTCGAAAAAATCCTACAATAAGTGCTCCAGAGTTGGNGACTATGTAATTTTTTAACACAAAAAAGCTAATTAAATAAACTAGACCACTTTATATTTAAAGTTTTTAGTTATTCAACAGATTTATTTGATCTATTTATTTATATTTGATATGAAATATAAATATTCGAAATCAAAAATTTTTTTTAAAAATTTATTACTCAGTGCATTGTGTAAAGATGCGTTTTTTTTAATTTTTTTCATAAAAATTTATTTTTTAAAACCAACTTTAGCTTATAACCTGCAAGGTTCATGACAATTGCCAAGTGATATGCAATTAAATAAATAAACATAAATTTTTTCTGAAGTGCGTCCTATTTTCCCATACTTTTATAACTAATGCTTCTATCTAAAAATTATAATTAATTACCATTTTATTTAAAGTTTCCGTAAAATCTGTGTTGGAGATTTTTGATTTTTTGGTATATTTATGCTTTATTCTATCCATAATTATACGCTTTCGGGCTGATAACTCACTTGGTGTCAAATTACTTTTTGTCGCCATTTTTGACTAAAAAAATGTTCAACTTTTTTTATTCTTTAATTTACATTTTTTAGGAATAATATTAAAAATTAACCTAGTGATTTATGAATTTTAACAGAAATTTACCATTTTATTAATTAATAAAAATAAAAATATAAAGTAAACAAAGAACATAGAAACAGTTAGATCGATTATCTCTGTGTTACCAATAGTAACTGAATGTCCATTTAGTTTAATATAATTTATGTAAACAAATATTTAGATATTTTTTAAAATGCTAGTTTCAAAGATAAGGATTAATATAATTTTTTGAAGTTAAACTTTAACACATAATTAATAATGATTGAAAATGTTTAAATGCGAATAAAAGTGTAAATTTAAACTACACGTGATTGTGCGACCACAAAAATAAATAATTATTTCTATCTTTAAATTACAATCAATAATTCATTGAATGTATTTAATCCATTCATAATCATTAAATTTGTTTTTTCATTATTGCAATTGCCTCTTTAAAAATTATTACTTTGACTTCTTGGCTTAGTGTTGATAATTTATAATATAATTATCTGGCTTTTATTCAAGAACTAATAAGTTATGAAAAATTGTTTATTAGATTTTTGTAATTCGTATATAGAAAAAAATAGGCGCCAATAATGATAGAATTTTGGGAGGTGCAAAATTAATTTCCCCAGCTTCAATAATATTTCGATATAATCATAATTGTGCTATTGATACTTTTAGTTGTTTTAGTTAGTTAAAGTACCTTATTTGTGCCTATATTATTATATAGAAAAAGATGTTTTCTTCGTGTATCAAAAACTATGAGCAAGTTTTACTGGAAAGGCTTTTTTTTATGGAATTTTGAAATTTTGATTTATATAACACAACACTGAGCTCTTTAAAAAAAATTATGAAATTGGTATTACATCTTTTGAAAAATAGCCATATAACTAACTTATTATAATAATTGTACGTTAATTACGACTCTAAAAAATGTTGCTATAATATATTAATAATTAAATTTTAATTTCACTATGTTACTATTAATCAATATTTTTTCGCAAGATTTGCGGAGTTTCTAACTCTGTCAAACATATTCTCACAAATTTTCAAAAGTACGAACATTAAAGAGAGGCACATGGGATACCTCATCACCTCTGCCAATCTCTGAAACAAGACCTTAATTCTGTAAGAAAGATGACAAAATTCCTCAAGGCTTCCGAACTATTTGACTTAATATAACATCTGTATAACTTGTGTGCTAGTGACCAACTTTTATTCACTCTCATTGTTAACCTAATCTAATTGTTTAAATAGCTAGTTCATTGTGATATACACTGGAAATGCATGTAATCACAGCCAATTGTCTTTATTGCTGCAGCCTCTATTTCAATAAAAAAAAATATATTTTTTTCCCCATGACTATATTTTTGTATCATTGTACTTTTTTTATTATATCATTTTTATTTATTTATTATATTTGTATTTTTGATTTAAAGTAAATCCAAAAATTATTGCTTTCGTTTAATTTAATTATATCATTAATTCAAAAAATATCAATAAAAATATTCAGTTATCATAAGTAAAAATTAAACATTCACGGACTTGTCATATTTTAAAACTTGTTTGTACTAAAAAATATATTTTATAAAAAAAAAAATAGATAAATTTCCAATTTATATTATAGAGTAAAGTATACATATATTGGCACCTTTATTTTTAAGTTACAAATAGTATTTGTCAGTATTAAATCAATATTTTAATTTGAGCAAAATTCTAAATCACATAGTCTGATTAATTATTAAAAAATAAAAAGCATTTCAAAACTAACTCAGCATCTTATAAAGAGAAAGTAGTTTAAAATGAGTCAATAACTGTATAATTTACTATATGTGTTTGTATAATTTATTTAGAAAACGTATGTATTTTTGTTAGGATTTAAAGGAGATTAACTTCATTAATATTGTCGTAGTCTTCACGTGTTATAAAACTGGTGCTATATAATTGAAATTTTTATTGATTGTTCGTTTTTCGCATCTAAATTAAATTCGGCAGTCATGATTTTGCTTTTCACTGTCCCGAGTTACCGTGGTAGTCATGGTAACGTGCAAAGCCGGCGTCTGAAGGGCGCAGATGCGACGATGCTGCACCCGGAAATTTAGGGTTACTGCCAGCAAATAAAATGCAGTTCTATTCTAAACAACATTGGCGTTGGCAGTTACCAAGAATTACACGCTCGTTCGATTGACTCAAGCTTTTTTATCAGTGCCAAAATTAATAACTTAGGTAAAACAAGTTTTATACATTTTGATATATGTTAGTTACATTAGTTTAAAAAGATACTGACCTAGTAAGACACTTATATTTGTATATTGCACTCTGACAACCTGTAGACAACAATCACGTGCTCTGGTCGCTTTAGAACGGATATTGGCGAATGAAATTAATTTTCTTAACCTTTGTTGATCTATGAAGAGCAATGTTCAAACGGGATTTGAAACATAGATTTTAAACGTCAATTCTTGTACCGTGTTCAGTACTTGTAAACCGTATTTTTCAGTGTTGTTAAAATTTGTTGTTTAAAATTACATTGATCTTATAGGACGTTTTAAAAATTTGAGATTGTTTACTTATATTTTAAATACGTTTTTTTTTTTTACAAACATATTTTTGTATAATCTGTTATTTATTGATTATGTACATTTAGTAAAGCCATGTAAAACTGTCTATGTTTTATACAATTTTATCAGATACATTATTGATAGGTAGTGGCACACTTGGGATTTTAGAATGTAGAGTGATACTTAGGATTTTTTATTCTCAGTGTTAGTTTTTTAAGTTTTTATTGTAATATCAAATAATATTATTGAAAAAATGTAAAATATTTTTCACGTAATTATACGACTGAAAGAAGATAATATACAAAAAATTAAATATATAATGCGTAAAAGTTTTCAAAAATATTTTTATAAATAACTGACCAGTTAAGATTTCTGAACAAATATAACTTAAATAATAGTACGTACTATATTAAGGGATGTTAATTTTGTATATTTTTTTTAATTTTTAATTATAATACGTTGAATAGACTACCTCAACTATATAATTTGATAGGTTAATAAGTAATTGAGCCCTTTGATATTTGTTATTATATGTAGCTACATTTTTAGAATTTCTTCAAAACTATATTTAATATTAAAACAGTTCAATTATGTACCAGATAGTAATGCTGTAATATTAATATTCTTTAATATCAAATAAATAAATGTTTTATTTACTAGGAACATAACATTTTAGTATGTCAATAGCTTGCAAAATATTCGGACTTGATGCATTTTAATAATTGATATTTTAAAAGTACATATAAATTTAAGTTTTAAAGAGATCTAGTGAAAATTCGGACATTTTTTTTAATATTATATTAGCTCTTCATCGAAGTTAATACCGGTTTTTGCGTCACTGGACACAATTCTATGGACTCGATTCAAAGGAGATATTGGACATAGAAACTAAAAATGATACGATTTTCGGTGAAAATTACCGATTTTTAAGTGTATTACAAAGAAACGAACATCTTAATAACTCAAAACCAAATCAAATTATAGATTTTTTATGTACTCTGTAGTAAAAAAGAAAAGACTTTCCAACGGCTAATCTTTTATGAGTAATACGCCTCTAAAGTCGTAAATAAGGTAATTTTCGGCGAAAATGTTAAATTTTTTGTTTAAAATCCATATTAGTCACGTAAAAAAATGTGCCGCAATGAAGTATAAAAGTAATCGTATAAAAAAATTTCACAAATATAGCGATATTTCTACAGATGGATTGCTTACTACGTAAAAATAGTTACTTTAGCTTTACACATATTAATATAACTTTTTATTTTTATCAATTTCTAGAAAAGTATAATGGGCTGTACAAAATAAAAAATAAAAATAATAAGAATATTGCTCGTTTAGAGTATAATCGTAAAGTCGTAATAAGATATATGAAATTATATTGCGGAAACCATAATAATAGTTATTAAAATAAAATTTCATAAATTTCACATAATACTTAAACAATATATAAATACGTAAAAAACACTAAATAGCCATGCCATTTTTAGGACGACAGCTGAATTGGTATGAATAGTCGAGATAATGTTAGGTATCGTTCCATTAAGTTATTGACACTTTTTATAGTGACTTGTTTAAAAATTTGCATAAAATAAAGCATTCCCCGTTTATATATATATAATTGTATAATATCCAATGTCCTAATATAAACATTTTTTTTTAGGTCAATGATAGAAAAGTCTAAACTTTTTTTACTTCCAAAGTCAATTTTTTTTTGGATCTTTTTGCTTACGTTTATATCGTTGGTGTTTGGTTACTATTCTATATTAAGTTTGAACGAAAATATTGTACAGCTTGAACAAAATAAGTTAGTAAAATTAAGTAAGTTGTTTTACATACCATTTATAATGTATTACATTTAATGTCATAACGTTTATCTGTTGTCAAATTTTACTATTTCAATAATAAATTATTTAAGTATAACTCATAAAACTTCACTACGTAAATAGTATTAAAAATAAAATATAGTTTTAGTATACTAACCAAATAAGACATATACCCACTAATTACACATACAGGGTGTTCAGTAAGTAAGGAAACGGGATTCTATAGTTCTCATTGTATGTTAAAAATGACCTGTTTCCTTATTTTTTGAATACCCTCTATATGCATTCATGGCATTATAGCGTAAAAATGTATACTGAGTGATAAACAAAAGAGTTTGAGACTACATGAGAGGGGATTTCTTGGTCATACTAAACCAAAATATTGGTAAATATAATCAAAACATAATTATAAGCTTTTAAACCTATGGTACAATTTAGAAAACATTAAATCCTCCATTATTAACTCGGTAACAATTCTAAAACAGTTTTATTGATAATACATAATTACTAAGTTTTCTATTTTCTTTATATAGACAATACTAGATAGTTGAAAAATATTATTTATTATTACTTGTTTTTTTTTCTTAGAAAATGAAGGTTACGTAATCAAAACTTCAGGATGCCGAATACCTGAAATGTTTGTGACAGGTCCATTAGTAGATCGATTTTTGAAAACGGATGATAATATCGATGTAAAATGTGATTTTAAATCACAAGAATTAAGTGGTTTTCAGTTGATTACTTCAAATCTAACTACAATATCGTTAAATTACACTCTATTAAAGACGTTAAATATCACCAAAAGTGATCCAACATTCAATTGTTACTATTCTTCAATAAGCAGATTTCCGCTTACAAATGATGACAGTGATAAAAATTTTGACAATAAAGTAAAGTAAGCCGTCATTTTTCAACCTTGAAACGATACTGTAAAAGTATTAGTTTTATTTAGTTTAGTGCTATTTTTAAAGTATGTCCGCATGAATATCCGCTCCTCCTGGACTCGACTATGTGTCAAAATATCACATTTTGATTACAAAAAAGAATATTCAAATACCTTATTTCGTCTCTTTAATACCAATTAATACCGGCACTGGATATTGTAGCACTCAATGTAAAATAATTTTTTTACTTATTAACTTAATATCATTTTTTTTTTTTATAGAATTGGTCCAAAAATAAAATTGGTTGATAGTATCATTATACAAGATGAATTTGTAAAAACATGGTGCACTCGTAACTCAGTTACAGTGTATACCGATTATCATGGATTTTTCACACCGAAGTCATCTCAAAATAATTATGTGATTACTAAAACAACTAAGTATAAAAAGTCAATCAGTGTACTCATTTTGGGTCTCGATGCAGTTTCCAGATTGAATTTTCACCGCCAAATGCCAAAAACTGCCACTTTTTTATCTGAATTAGACACCGTAGAAATGTTGGGGTATAACAAAGTTGAAGATAACACATTTCTGAATTTAGTACCTGTACTTAGTGGTTTTTCAGTTGAAGAACTAACAAAAAAATGCCATTTAAACCAAACTGATTTCTTTGACAAATGTAATTTTATTTGGAACGAATTCAGTCGTGCAGGCTTTGAAACAGCGTTTGGAGAGGATTCACCATTTATTGGAGCATTTAATTATCTTAAATATGGTTTTCGTCGACAACCTACTGATAGATATATTCGACCCCTAATGATAGCTTCTGAAAAAGATATTGGACACAATTTTCCTTTAAATACATTTTTATGTACTGGGTCACGTTTGAGCATAGCGTTTTTATTAGACTACGTGCGTAAGTATGTACAATCGACTGCAGACAAGCTCTCCATGGGCTTTTTTTGGTCTACCAGTCTGACGCATGACTACTTGAATTTGCCAAAATATGGTGATCAACTGCTAAAAAATTTTTTCGATTCGATGAACCAATCGGGTTACTTGAATCGAATGGTAGTCATATTGATGAGCGACCATGGTCTAAGATGGGGATCATTCCGGGAAACTTACCAGGGCTACTTAGAGGATAGATTACCCATGTTAAATTTCATTATACCAAAATGGTTCCGTGAAGAATACCCAAAAGCCATGGAAAACCTTCAACATAACACCATTAAATTAACCACGCCGTATGATTTACACAAAACTCTCCTAGAGTTTATCAATTTAGATGGACTTAAAGACGAATCGGTGGAAGAACGCCAAAATTCTGATATAATGAGCAGTAGTCTATTCTTAAAAGTTTCTGATAACAGGACTTGCGAATCGTCCGGTATACCGAAACACTATTGTGCATGTCACAACAAGGTAACTTCTCTTCGGGTAAAGGATTCAATCGTACTTAAAGCTGTAGACACTATTCTGAGTTATATTAATACCAAATTAAGTGATTATCCATTGTGCGCAAAACTAAAAGTGCTCGAGGTGTTATCAGCTTCTGAGGAATCGGGAAATAATGATAAGCTTAAAGATTATGTTATTCAAATTACTACTACTCCAGGAAAAGCAATATTTGAGGCTACTATTAGACATACAGAAAATAAATTCCAAATGGTTGGTTCAATAAGTAGGCTTAATTTATATGGTGACCAAAGTACATGCGTCAATGATGCTGCATTAAAACTTTTGTGTTATTGTTTAAGATGAGCGAGTTATCACTTAAATGTGAGATTTTTAAGTATCATAAAATGATTAAGATTCAACTTATGGAAACAAATGATGATACAAACTTCTATTTAACAATAAAATTTGATGATTAATAAAATTGCACAAAAAATAATACGTTTTGTTTGTTAGGGCAATTAATTTTCTATAGTGAATTTCTCAAAGTAATTTTATGCTAATCTTGCTAACAATAAAATAATTTTATTGCACCTCGAATATTAATATTCGAATNTATAAAATTGCACAAAAAATAACACGTTTTGTTTGTTAGGGCAATTAATTTTCTATTGTAGTGAATTTCTCAAAGTAATTTTATGCTAATCTTGCTAACAATAAAATAATTTTATTGCACCTCGAATATTAATATTCGAATATTTATCTCTCGAATAAAAAAATTCTGTATAATACGAATAAGTATAAATTGAGAACTTACAAATGAAATGCTTAACAAAATATCAAATTTTACCATGTGCCTTAAAATTTGGCAACTGTGCTTTAGATGTACTATTAGTTGATACGTGTAAATAAGACAAGACAGACTGAGTATAGTAATTGTGATAAACAATTAAATTTAACAATGGTTTAGTGTACAAAATTATCACAGTTAGAATTTTTTTTTAAAAATGACGTATAATAGTTACTTTTTAATTTATTTTCGTTAAAAATGTTTGACTCCAAATGTAAAAAAAGCGAACAATACGCAACATCTAAAATGTAAATGTGTAAATAAAAAGAAATGGTTTTCTTTTTAATTTTGTAATGTAAAAAGTAAAATTTCACTTAGCAGTAATAAAATTATTATTAAAGTAAAATAATTACAAAATGTTATACTGTGATGATAAATGTTTTTATTAATTTGTTATTTTCTGTTAGATTTAATATTTAAACGGATTAATACAATAGTGTATTCAAATATATGTATTATTTTAATAACATTTTTATTTTATATTCAATTTAAATACAATCAAACAAAATTATTTACACAATCGAATTAAATGGAAAGGGCCTTTACAATGGTGTTACGTAATAATCTAAATCTTTATCAATCATATAATCTTAATTATTTGTAAATTGTTATTAATATTCAATAGACATAATAAATTAAAAATAAAATATTTATTAAATATTCTTAGCATTATCCAAGATTTTATTACGTTGTTTTTTATTTAACTTATCTCTTTACGACTCTTCTCTTTCATTATATCAACTTATACCTATGTCGTCACAATATTGCTATTTTATATGATATGAGCTTCTTTTAACATTTTGACTACAACTTCTAAGGAAGAAAGAAAATATATTTCTTTGGCGTTATATTAGTAACAGCGGCACATCTAGAATACATTTTTTTGTGATTTAATTTTTCTTCCACTCTAAAAAAATATTTTTATACTGCAGTAGATATAATTTTATACATTTTTTAAATACTGCATCCCCCTAATATTCCCATAGTTGCACCACCGACTGGTGTCCACTATGTTCGATCCCGTCGACTGTAATGAATTATTATTAAATACTTCTATTTTTATTTAACTTGCAAAATTTTAATGTTTATTAATTTTTATGTTTATAACCCAGTTGATTATTTCGTTTCATATAGTGGCATTGTATACAGAAATATATCTCATTACTATATAGTAGAACAAAATCACTCCTGGAACAATCTACATCTTACTCAACGCACAAATATAAAAAATATATATATAATTAGTGATAAAATTTATTGCCTGTATTACCTGTAAAAAAATGTGATGTTGATTATTTTTGTAATCAAGGCTGCAATGCAGTAGAACCTGTTAACTGAAGTACCACTCAGGAGTACAGGTTTCAGTTTAACAAAAAAACGTATTTTAAGCATATTTTATTAGAAATTTTATATAAAAATGTTTATATAAAAGTANCCATATAGTGGCATTGTATACAGAAATATATCTCATTACTATATAGTAGAACAAAATCACTCCTGGAACAATCTACATCTTCTCAACGCACAAATATAAAATATATATATATAATTAGTGATAAAATTTATTGCCTGTATTACCTGTAAAAAATGTGATGTTGATTATTTTTGTAATCAAGGCTGCAATGCAGTAGAACCTGTTAACTGAAGTACCACTCAGGAGTACTTCAATCAACAGGTTTCAGTTTAACAAAAAAACGTATTTTAAGCATATTTTATTAGAAATTTTATATAAAAATGTTTATATAAAAGTACCATTGATCATAGTTTTACTATCAAAACTTTGATAATCTTCTAGATAGAACTGTTTTTGTTTTGTTAGTTATTAACAAAGCTGAAATATCAGTACAGTGAGATCCTGACAGAGTGGGGACGTGGTATAGTTAAGACAAGTATAAATAATATCTGTTAATGTTTAACTATGTAATAAAATACTTATAGAGTTTTGATTCATGCAATCATAATATGTCATTTTTTAACAGTATATTTTCAAAATTAGTCATTTTACTTATGCCGAATGAGGCCTTAGTAATTTGTTATGTTTTAAATATTCCTGTTCATTGTTTGGTTTACTGAATTTATTTTTCTTGAGTAAAATACTCACCACCAACCCATCTCTACCACAAATATCACATGTTCTTTCTTTTCTCTGTTCTTTTACAAATTTAAAGCCTTCGCAATCTGACAGAGATGTTAAATGTCTAATGCTGCCATCAGGTCTTCGAACATTAAGTGTACCCTTTTTCATAAAAATGTCAATTGACTTGTTTAACCCCAAAGTTGTTATAAATGAATCTTGAGCAATTTTATTGACTCCTTTAGGGGTTAGTGTTGTTTGACCACTTTGGGTAGTATACAATGTTCTTTTACTGTCACTTGTGTCTAAGGGTATTGTAAGGCGCCATTGAGAGAAAATTTCAGTGTTGGATGTACCCATCATGGTGTCATTAAGTACAGGTATTATTGTTTGTTCAGATTTCTCATAAGTATTGAATGAATTTTCTTCAGCTAAAAGATCAAATAGAAGGACTACATCATAATTATAATTCAAATTACTCATTTTCATATATGTATTATTATTAAAACCACAATTTTGAAATAAGAATTATATAAGAAATTCTGTACATTAATTAATTAATTTATATTTCTTGGTTGAATCAGAGACTTAATTAATAATAAAAATATCAACTATTTCATATTTGTATTTGTATATAATCTGTTTCAAAGTGTAGATGTTACTAGAGGTTTTAATAATTTATTTATATAAAATGTAAATTATGAACCAAATTATAATTTTTATTTGGGATTACATTGTCTTACTGGTCAAGAAATAAGTTTGTTAAAGAAAGCTGAGTAGCGTACATGAACAAGAAGACCATTCATTATTGGATAATATTGTCTGTGTAGCCTGTTTAGGTTTACTGATATTTATGTATTCATGTAAAATGAATTTTCTATTTTTAATTTCTGTGTTGCTACTATTGTTATTATGTACATCATTTTTTTTTTGGCATTCATCATCATTTTTCGCTACAGACGTTTTTATTTCAGCTGAATGGACACGGTGATACAAAGACTGCATGCCATCGGTTGGAATTAAGACATAAAAACGACTAACTTTTGGACCCGAATTTGTTTTGGGCATATTAAAATTAACTTAATAGTTTAATCAAATTTTAATTGGAAATTTCGATATTCTATAAAATTATCATTGTATTTATTAGATTATTTAATTAGTCAGAAATTAACAAATAGTCATGTAACTATAGTCACGCATACCAATTATGGTGACTAGGGGTATACAACTCCCTTTACTTCCTAGTTACATCAATATGTTTATCGGATTAAAAAAAAATTCTTTCTTTGATGAACAGTTTTTTTTTTTGACCTCCATCTCAAAAAAGAGATGGAGGAGTGTTATGAAATGCGTATGAGGTCGGCTGATATAAGCGTGGATGATGTGGGAGATCGTATCAAGTGGAATTTTATGATAAGGGTGGCCAACCCCTAATAGTTGGGAATTAAAGCGAGGAAATATAAGATGAGGTTCATTAGCTACGATTAATATCTCGTGAGTTTTTTGATTGCTGTAAGAATAATCTGTACATTCCCTGTATACTTTAGTACATTGAGTGGTGCAATTTATAAAAGTTTTTTCATATTCCTTATATATTTGGCTGCATTGTTTTTATTTGGCTAGCTTCATCTGCATTCTGTTTATTTATAATATTTTAGGCTGAAATTTTATGTCTTTTTACTATCTAATTTAACTGATCAATCTTTTACCGTTTGGGAGACATAATTGATTTGGTAGTTAGGTGTCGATGGATTCATTTTTTTTTTTTTAAAGATTTAACACAGTAAAATTAAATTTAGCTAGCAGCTTAAGCATCTGAAATACGATTTTATGCACATACGCATGATAGATACACAGTCAAATTTTTATATTTATTACCCTTTAAAACTCCATTAAGACATTTTATTNGTCTGCATTCTGTTTATTTATAATATTTTAGGCTGAAATTTTACGTCTTTTTACTATCTAATTTAACTGATCAATCTTTTACCGTTTGGGAGACATAATTGATTTGGTAGTTAGGTGTCGATGGATTCATTTTTTTTTTTTTAAAGATTTAACACAGTAAAATTAAATTTAGCTAGCAGCTTAAGCATCTGAAATAAGATTTTATGCACATACGCATGATAGATACACAGTCAAATTTTTATATTTATTACCCTTTAAAACTCCATTAAGACATTTTATTCCAAAAAAATCAATTATTTTATAGCAAAAAAAAATTTATAAGGTAAATATTTATATATTCAACCTAAAAATAAATTTCAAGTAATATTACTGGGAAAATATATATGTTTANATAAGGTTAATATTTATATATTCAACCTAAAAATAAATTTCAAGTAATATTACTGGGAAAATATATATTTTTAATTAAAAACAAGGCAATTATTGCTACTAAATGAGAATTTAATAAACATAATTTTTTTGATAGTAAAAATAACAAATATTTTTAATTTATTACAACCAAAAACAAATTTCATTGCATGTATTTTAAGATAATATTATTAACAATACATCATTGATTAATGAATTTACATAAACATAAGTTTATAAATGGTAATAACCAATTTAAGGTTAAGTTTTTAATGGACATATCCATTTTACAAAATAAATTTAACTTTTCTAAATTTTTTATATAAATTAATATAATTGCAGGAACTCGTTTGAGTATACTATTACTGTAGTTTTAATTACCGTCTCCACCATTGTATTATTTCTAATTAATCAATATAGTAAAAAAGAGCAAGACAGTAAACCTACATTTAAGTAAAAATATAACATTTGTAATAATTATAGTTACACAAGTTATGTGTAACAATTTGATGTTTTACAAGACGATAAATATAAAACCAGGAAAGGAATTACTTATAATTAAAATATATTATTATCGTTCACGACAGTTCTCACTCATATTGAATCCCAAACTGAGCATTTCTGAAAATAAAATAAAATGAAGTATTTAAGCATTTATTTTTTGATAATTAAATAAAAAGTGAAACAATATTGGACGGAGAAAAATGTGTATTATTAACTTCTATAATGCGATAATTCAATTTTTTTCAACAAATGGCTTGCAAACAATTCAATTTTACGCCAAATGAACAAATATTGCAATCATAAATAAAATGAAGAATGAATTTCTTGATTAAATGGTCCACTATTCCAGAATGTATTTTTTTTAGTAAATTCTTTATACTATATACATAGTAAAATTCTTTATATATTTATAGTGAATTCATTGATGGGGTTGTATGAGTTAATATACAGGACAGAATCTTTAACAATTTTTAAATTATAATATGACGAAGAAAATCTTTTAATAGAATTAGTTCTTAAGTTACTCTATAATTCAAAAATAATGGTTGATATTTATCTCAAATTAAAAGTCATTACGAAAAGGTTTTTAACAAATCCCAGAGATCTAAGGTGACTAGTTATATTATATTAAACTACTGTAGATGAACCACACAAATACAGTATGATACTTTTTACTCAATTAATTAAAAAATGAAAACAATACTGACATATGTATAGTGTTCAGTAAACAGGGCAACATTTCAGATGTTACAAACAATGAAAACAATAGAAACCCATTTCCTTACTTAAAGAACACTATACATATTTTAATTTCTTTTAATTACATATATTTTTCAATTTATTAACATAAAATATTTTTTATGTTCATCTTTAATACATTATAAAGGGTGTCAACGTTATTTTTTCAAATAACACCATAAGTGATTAACATGTTTATTTATTACAGAATTATCTAATTTAAAATATTACTAATAAATAATATTTGGACCAGTATTTCAGAAATTATAAAAATCATAAATACATGATTAGAAGTGAGGCGTAGTTATTGATAATGTGGTTTTATTAATTAGATAATTATCAAATAAATAAGTTTGGTTATTATATAGGGTGATTTTTTTATCATAACCCACTCAATTACTTGCANTATGTTATCATTTAAAAAAATGAAATTGATATGAATAAAGTTATAATAAAAAAAGGATAATTATATAAAAACTTCATCAATTGATAAATTAAGAAAGTATGCAACTAAAAAAAAAACGGTAGCACAGTGGGGTCGCGGCATAGTAGAGACATTGCATAGTAGGGTCCAGTATAGATTTAATCTGACAGTGATTAAAATCACTATCATAAGAAACGCTTCGATGCAAATCTGTAGATAGTGTTTAATTTTAAAAAATTGATGGATAATTGCAAAAGCAACATCAACTTCTATTAAAATAAAATACAAAACCCATAATTATCATACAAAAATAGTATATTTTTCAATATGGTAGCCATTTGCG